TGGTCCTCTGCCTGGTCCTCAGTCTGGTCTTCTGCCTGGTCCTCTGCCTGGTCCTCTGCCTGGTCCTCTGCCTGGTCCTCTGCCTGGTCCTCAGTCTGGTCTTCTGCCTGGTCCTCTGCCTGGTCCTCTGCCTGGTCCTCTGCCTGGTCCTCTGCCTGGTCCTCAGTCTGGTCTTCTGCCTGGTTCTCTGCTTGGTCCTCTGCCTGGTCCTCTGCCTGGTCCTCTGCCTGGTCTTCTGCCTGGTTCTCTGCCTGGTCCTCTGCCTGGTCTCTCTGCCTGGTCCTCTGCCTGGTCTTCTGCCTGGTTCTCTGCTTGGTCCTCTGCCTGGTCCTCTGCCTGGTCCTCTGCCTGGTCCTCTGCCTGGTCCTCTGCCATGGCCGCGGACCCCCGTGACTCACCAGATTTATGCCCTGGCCTCAAAACACGCGTGTATTTCAGCGGCCCGTGTTTACCGTCCAGAGGAATGTGCAGTATTTGGGGATGTGAAAAACAGCAGCCCGGAGCGCGGGGGGGGGGGAGTTAGAGACTTAGAGAGAGATACAGAGAGAGAGAGAGAGGGAGAGATGAGACCGAGAGAGAGAGCAAAGAGAAGGAGAGATAGAGACTGAGAGAGAGGGCGAGAGAGAAAGAGAGAAAGGGAGAGATGTGGAGATAGAGGGACAGAGAGAGGGACAGAAAGAGATAGAGAGAGACAGAGGGAGAGAGAGGGAGAAGGAGAAAGAGAGAGAGGGAGAAAGAGACAGAGGCAGAAAGAGAGATACAGAGAGAGGAGGAGAGAGGGAGAGGGAGGGAGAAAGAGAGAGTCAGAAAGAGAGATAGCGAGAGAGATTGAGAGATAAATAGAGAGAAAGAGAGAGAGGGAGCAAGAGATATAGAGATAGGGAGAGAGAGACAGAGAGACAGAGAGATAGGGAGAAAGAGAGGGACAATAAAACAGAGGCAGAAAGAGAGAGAGCGAGAGAGCGAGAGAGAGAGAGAATGAGAGAGAGAGGGAGAGGGAGGAAGAGAAGGAGAGTTAGAGACTTAGAGAGAGATACAGAGAGAGGGAGAAATGAGACCGAGAGAGAGAGAGCAAACAGAAGGAGAGATAGAGACTGAGAGAGAGGGTGAGAGAGAAAGAGCGAAAGGGAGACATGTGGAGATAGAGGGACAGAGAGAGGGACAGAAAGAGATAGAGAGAGACAGAGGGAGAGAGAGGGAGAAGGAGAAAGAGAGAGAGGGAGAAAGAGACAGAGGCAGAAAGAGAGATACAGAGAGAGGAGGAGAGAGGGAGAGAGGGAGAGAAAGAGAGAGAGGGAGGGAGAAAGAGAGAGTCAGAAAGAGAGATAGCGAGAGAGATTGAGAGAGAAATAGAGAGAAAGAGAGAGAGGGAGCAAGAGATATAGAGATAGGGAGAGAGAGACAGAGAGACAGAGGGAGAAAGAGAGGGACAATAAAACAGAGGCAGAAAGAGAGAGAGCGAGAGAGAGAATGAGAGAGAGAGGGAGAGGGAGGGAGAAAGAGAGTCAGAAAGAGAGATAGCGAGAGAGAGATTGAAAGAGCAATAGAGAGAAAGAGAGAGAGAGAGAGAGGGGTGAGTGATAGCAGGCTCAGTCTCCACACGGGGCACTTTGCTCTGAGGAGGTGCAGACGTATTTCATTGAGAAATTGTTGGATTTAATCAGGAGCAAAGCCACATTATACTTTCATATCTGCTTCTGAATTTCAGACACTTTGGTTTTGTCCTGTTTTACATTTCAGCGTGCTACAGAGCTGTACAGACACACACAGGTTCAATATTTGGAGTTTGAAAGCGTTGTTTTATATGCTAGCAGTTTAGATGAACATTAGCACACTTTTTCAGCACAAATGACGACAAACAAGACTTCTCTGAATTCCTCTCTGCACAATTCCTCGACTGTTTGACCTTTTCTCGTCAAAAGCAGCCTGACTGGTTCGGGCGCAAAATGACAACAAAATCCTAAATCATCGATTCAACGACATTTATGAACATTTATGAACATTTATCAACACTTATGGACAAAATACCAATATGTTTTCTCATTTATTTCTTGTGTATTCTTTCTGTTTGATTCTCTGATCTGTGTTGGGCGAATTCAACAATGTGTCCTCTGAGGTAACTACTGTTGTGATTTAGGGCAATACAAGAATACGTTGAATTGAAGAAAACGGATGAATGGATCTATCTACCTCATCGCTATCCCAGAATGCAACACAAAACAGGCCTTATGAGAAATACCACACGTTGGTTCACACAACAACCTTCTCCTTTCCCTCTTCCTCTGTCCTTTTTCTGAAACCTCTCTCTCCATCGCGTCACGGTGCATTCAGGGTCTCGGAGAAAACCACGCCGCCTCCATTCTCCCTTTATCAGCAGCAGCAGCAGCAGCAGCAGCAGCAGCAGCAGCAGCGGCAGCAGCAGCAGCAGCAGCAGCAGCAGCAGCAGCAGCAGAGAGACAAAAGACGCAGACGTCACGGATTCGGAGATATCGTGTGACATAAGATCAGATAAATACTTTTCGGACAGCAGTGTTTTCTTGGAGGTGAAACTTTATTACTGATAAGACGAGATAGAGGTTGTTGATCCCGACGGAAATGACAGAGGTGCCGACATCATACATAAGTTGGTAAAATACAATAAAAATAGTAACAGAGTAAAAGTACTGCTTTTAACTTTTATACGTTTGTTTATATCCATTGAGATTTCATTGTTTTTTTTCAGTTTTTTCAGGCAATGGGACAGACAAGTACGTAGATAGCACTCTCGCCTCTCAGCAAGAAGGTTCTGGGTTGGAATCCCCGTCAGAACAGGGCCTTTCTGAGTGGAGTTTGCATGTTCTCCCCGTGTCCTCCGGTTTCCCCTACCACTCAAAACATGTGCAATAGTTCAGGTTGAATGAGTGTGAGTTTGTGAGTATATGAAGACTACAAGTGAAAGTACAGTATTGTTAGATCTCAGGAGCAAAGCAAAGCAGTGCAGGGCTTGGTTTGAAGCTGGATGGGAGACCGCAGGTGCCGCAGTGGGACGGCTCAGACTGTAAAGTGCAAACCAGTGGCTCTGTTCTCGGGCAATACACTTATCAAACACATCACATTTTAGAATTCAGTGCGTGGAGGATTGATAGTGTTAAGATGGGCCGATAGCACAGATTAGCAACCTTGGTTTCATGAATTAATCCAGGGCAGCTGTGACTATAAGTCGTTTTTATCAGTAGTAAAGTAAAGCACATTGGGTGTCGTGAGAGAGGCTATATATAAATGCTAGCTATTTATGTTCTTGTGCATAACCAAACATTTATTATTATCTCGTAAAATATTTATTAGGTCTTTCCCAGAGACAAATGCAAGATGTCGAGGTGGTAATTTGGCCCCCTGAACTTGCACAGGCCCCGTACCACCCGAGAGTACAAGTAGAAGAAGTAGTAGAATGGATTTTTCAGGAAAATAGAAATACAGTCTTTTTCATATTTCATAGAGATAAACAGTTTGATAAAGCATAGACGTTTTTAATGACACAACAATATCAATATAAGTCTAGTCTAGGTTTTAAAGTGGACCTAGAGTCTGTAATAAAGAATTTGAACAAGACACTAGCTTCATGTTCTGCCGGTTGTTGGAGATGCATGTATTGAATGCTGCATAACTCACAGTCGTTATACTTTGGCCTGATGACTGCATAAGTGGTGTATTTGGTATCAAAGTGTCAGTTGTGAGCAGGTCTGTGAATGACGGTTGGTTTGAGAGTGCGAGGGGAATGTGTGTGTTTGCTCTTTGTGGTTTTCCTCCTTCACCTGCTGCACGGCCCTCCAGGTTCTACGGCTTCAAAAAGAACAAACAAACTCATTTATGCAGTAGACACACGACAGAGATATAAACATGTGATGCGTATTCAAATGTACAGACTTATTGTGTGGATTTTGGTTGACCGTTGTGTCTCTTGGATTATGTGGGAGATTATAGACGGGAAAAGAACCTTGTGCATTTTACACACTTTACACACTTTACAAACACAGTCGTAGAGTTGTTTTGGCCATATTTTGTAGATATTGAATGGTGACAAACCCGTATTGTATGCCCTCATTGTTCGTGGGTGTATGAAGCCATATAATCTCAAATAAAAATGTTCTGTTTTCAATTTGTAACAGGATTGAGCTGATTTACGATGATCTCAAATGGTCAGTTAAGGCAAGGCAGCCCAGGAATTGACAAGAAGAATGTGCAGCTTTACCATCAGAGAGACACCGAGCGGGAATGCAAACAGGGGGGATATAAACTTGTAATTACAGCCCTTTTGAGTATTTTCTGTTGTCGTTAGTATTTGTCATAATAACATTTGTTTTTTTGATAATAAACTGCTTCACACAATCAATAACAATTTGTTTTTTTTTCTTAATCTTTGCAAAATAGAAAAAAATAATAATAATTCTCAGATCCAGTCAGACTTTTGAAGCTAAGCAGGGCAGGGCGTGGTTAGTACTGGGATGGGGATCTTTTCCGAACACCAGGCGCCACAGTGGGGCGGCTGCGGCTGTGAAGTGCCAAACTGTCGCTGTGTCCTTAGGCAAGACACTTCACCCACATTGCCTAGAATGAGTCTGGTGTGTGCATGTGTCAGTCTGGTTGCCTCGCTTCTGTCACTGTGCCCCAGGGCAGCTGTGGCCTCAGTAATAGTTTATCACCACCGTGTATAGAGTGAAAGAATAATATCTCTGAGTGTCCAAAAAGCGCTGTATAAAACCAATGCATTATTATTGTTATTAAATAGTTTATAGATTTGATTTGAATCCAATCATAACCGATGAAATCTTGTCTCCTACAGTCATGTATCTAAAAGAAGCAAAAAACGCAAGAACCACAACCTTCATTTCATTTTTCAGATACATTTCTTCCGTCCGTGCGCTGTGAAGGCCGGTTAAGGCTAAGTTATCATGGAGCTTTTAGAAGGGCCTGCTCCACATTTGAGGTGGCGGTTGGGGGGCGGTTGGGGGGGTCCAGTTACGTAGTGTCCCGGCAGGTGGGAAAGCGCCTGCTGTGTGTACGTTTGAGGTCGCAGTGGTCAGAGGTCCTGGGCCGGGGTGGATTCCTTCATGCCACTGCCCGCCTGTGTTTCTAAGCTGACAGCTGCTAATCTCCAGCTCCGCCGTGCTTCCACAACTACACTGACTGGAAACGAGCCACTGCGAGGCGAGTTCGGACAGGCCGCTCTGTCCTCGTCTCACATGGATGACTCTATGTAAAGACACACATGCTCAAATACATTTGTCGGGCCACACATTTGGACGATACAAATGGGAATATACACAAACAGAGTAGATTTTAGACTCGCTTCTTACCGGTGAGGATCCAGGACACTCGACAAACAATATTTATGGACATTTATCAACATTTATGGGCATTGATCTCTGCCTCGTATGGACCAACGGCTCTGTGTGTTTTTCATTGTATTTCTTGTGTTTGAACTGTTTGATTCTTTGATCTGTTTTGGAGAATTCAATGGTTTTGTAAAGTCTTCCGGGTTGTGATTTAGGTCTATACAAGAATACAGTTTTTCACTACGGCCAGAGATTTGATATTTTCTTATGCTTTCTCATAACGCGTTTTATCATTTTATTTTATTTTAATATAGAGTTGTTGTTCACTTATCTTTTGCTGTGATCTTCTCATTCTTACTGTTCTGTAACTGGTGATGCAACACCGACATTTCCAAACTGTGGGACGAATAATGGATCTCTTAATCTTAATATGAAAAAACACAATACATACAAAAAGATTAAGAAAAATCATTACATGAAAAAAATTCTAAATAAAAATCTCAGCAAAATCTTTTTAACTCAAGTGGCAGTAACATGAAATACATGATATCCTTTATTATCTGAAGTTGACCTGCAGACCAGCTGAGCTGCAGGCCACTCCAGTGTGACCTTCTAATGTATCCTGGGTCTTCTCCCACGGGACATACCTGGGGCATTTCACACGGGTGGTATCCACGGGGCCACCACCTCAGTTGGCTCTAGTAGATTTTGGAGGAGCAATAGCTTTATTCTGAGCTCCTCCCTTGTGATCTCTTGGAAAGCCCCAGGCACTGACCCAATCAGATCCTTTCAGTCATTACCTAAAGCTCAGGACCACTCATCCATGGTGAGGATGGGAACATATGAGCGGGAAACTGGAAGATTTTCCTTGGGTTTCACCTGGAACCTGGTCTTAGCCAAGATGACATTGTCTGCAGCTCAGGGTGATAGATTGATACAGTAAATACATAGGTAGATAGATAGAAAGATAGATAGATAGAAAACATAGATTGTAGATAGATAGATGAATGACTCACTGCCCCCAATGCAAGCAAGTCTGAAGTCAGACAGGGACTGGACTCTGTACTCACTCCGGGAGAAGGACACTGCAGGAAACGGGTTGACGGCTCTCTCCAAATCCATAAAGCACTCACGGACTGCTGGACAAACTCCTATGATTCCTGGAGCCTTGAAATCTAATCTTCTTTTTTGTTTTATAAATAACACATATTATAAACAGTGTCCAAAGAGCTGCAGATAGATACTTTGACAATAGAATGTACTGACACTTTGCATTGTGGGGCCAGTCCATGGAAATTGACACATGAAAAAACCCACCACTGTAAACCCGATTCCCAAACGTAAATACACTCACAAACAGATTATAATTCCTTAAGCCTTGGCATGAACTGTTTTCCATATTACTAGTGGTTCTGTTTTTTCTGCCCTGCGTCTGTGGCCTCGCTCGACCCGCTGTTTACATCCACACACAGTTCAACATTAACCCAAACATTTTATATCTGCTTTTCCCAGGGACGTTCACAGGGTCTCCCAGGACACCCAAACAGAACGGCAGAATAACACCATTTTTTGATCAATATGGCGAGATCAAATCACATCAAAACCAAGCCCTTGATAATCGCAATTTTGATAGAAATGGAGCTAAATCTTCAGAGATAGAGCTAAAAGCGTTGAATTCATAACCTCCTTTGCCATATTTGTCTCGTCCCCTGTGATAATCTGTTTTTCTCCTTTGCATTTCTCATTGTTGTTGTATCATATATCCATAACATTCAAGTTCAATTATGATTAGATATATGGCAAAAATATGTACAAAGAAACGTGCTTTGAAATGCCTTCTCTTCCTGCTGCTGTCAGACTGTACAACGAGCAATGTGGACTAACTAACCGTGCGCCTGTGCAATTAACCAAACTAATGTCAGAATGTGCAAAATGAAACCACGTTATTGTCACTCAGCTGTGCAATAATAGCTTTAGTAATGTCAGAATAAATGTGCAATTCAGAATCACATGTGTTACAGTCACGATGGAGTCAGCTAAATGTTACTTGCACTAAAATATACAGAGTTTTACATTTGCTCCTTATTCTGCTGAAGTCAGGTATATCTGTATTTAAGTTCTTCATCATGCTAAAGTTGGAGATTTTAAGACTTCTTTCCCTATTATGCTAGCCTGGTCGTACCACACC